CAAAAAAAAAAAAAAAAAAAAACAAAAAAACAACCATGGTTCCAGAACAACATTTAGAAGAAAGATTTGTACTAATATTGTTTGGACAGGATATCATGTCTGCATTTTGTACTATGAATAACTACTACAAAGACAACAATATGCAATGTATTGATTGTTGAAGCTGCCCTACTAACCTGTTTTGAAACTGTCTCATGCTATTTGTTTCTCAATAAAATTAATAAAAAAAGAAAAAAAAGAAATGCGAAAGAGATTCATAAGAATGCATTGCAAATCAGACTGTAGTAAAGAGAAACCATGTGGGCAAAAGTGCAGAATTAAACAATTCCTATGTGATGAAAATGCTGTACTAAAAGATTTAGTTGAGGAAAATAATCTTCAAAGTATCCTAGCTGCTCAAAAGGACTTGGGTTATACATACCATTGTAAGTGAATACCACTTCCCAAAAGAATCCATTGAGAATCTATCCAAGTCTTTGGCTACTTTTCAAGAACTGTTTTACTGAATAATCTAGATGTATTTTTGTCCTCTGTCACCTCCAGTTACTTACACTGTAACTCCTGCCTTATCTATTGAAAAAAAAAAAAAAAAAGCTGAGTGGGTGGGGATCAGCGGAGCAGAGGGCCTAGATGGCATCCTGTGATACTCCTGTGACTGACTTCAAAAGCATGAGGAACTTTTGTTCCTAAGATCCTGAAGTCCCTCTTTTAAAATGGGAATCTGGGAATTACTGACAAACAAGATGAAAGATAGTGCTTCAAGTTCCTCCTTTTTCTGTCTCCAGACATACAAGTACCATACAAATTTATAATGCAGAGAAACTGAAAGTTCACCTGTTCTGCAACTTTTGGGGATTTTCATTAGGACACACCTCAAGCTCAGTCCTCTGCTGAAGGAACTGTGGACAGTGAAGCTTGCCCCAAGGCAGCTACCAACTATGTTGGCATAGGATGTGCCTTAAGGCTGTCACTGTGCTTCAGATTTAGGCTTCCTTAAGGGTGCAGTAGGAAATACTAACAGTCTGACCCCACAGGCAACGGACCCCTCTTAAATCTAAGGCCAGGCTGCTGTAGATAACCTGGCTGGATTATAGAGTGGGACACAGTCACATAGGAATAGGCTCGGCTTCCTGTTTTCCATATATAGCGCCCTTCTGCTTTTCTAGCTCAGCCCACACAGCCCCAGAGCCGGGTGTGAGCATTCCTTGCCAGCATTCAGATGCTGAACATTTTTAAAGGACTAGAGGGAAGTGTTTAGGAGCCGCTCTTTTCAAACACTGAGCTTCTTCAGCTGTAGGAGAGAACGTGCCTTCCCAAATAAGCATGAAGAGTAAGGCAAGTATAAGCAGTTGAACGGCCCTGGAGTTATTTTAGGAACCGTGGTCATTCAGCACAGGAAATGAGTATCAACAAGTTACAGCTAGAGACGGTGAAACATTACTTCTTTCCTCATTTAACTACTTCTGAGTAGCTGGAGAAAAGTTAGGTGCAATTCTGAATGTGGAACAGCCTGCTGGGTGTGGTGGTGCTCAGCTGTAATCTCAGCACTTGAGGAAGCTGAGGCAGGAGGGCTGTGGCGAGGTCAGGTTGAGGCCAGCCCGGGCTACCCAGTGAGTGTGAGACCAGCTTGAAGGACAAAATAAGATCCTGTCTCAACAAAAAAAAAAAAAAAAAAAAAAAAAAAAAAAAAGAATGAAGAACAGATTCATTAGGGAGTAAGAAGGACGGGCTTC